GCTGTGTAGAGATAAATACATAAAAATACAATAAAAACCTAAAAAAATAAAAAAATAAAACAGATAAACAAAACAAACAACCACCCAAACAAATAAACAAATAAACAAACATATTTACTTATTTATTTGTCTCCTTTTTGTTTTTTTTTTTATTTAGTTTAAGTCAAAGAGACTGTGAAAAAGTTGCTGAGGGTTTAGAAGCTGAGGGAATTTCTGCAGTTTATTACCACGCTAAGCTAGAAGCAGAAACCAGAGAAAAAACACAAAAGAGCTGGATGAATAACCAGTTTCAGGTATTATAAACCATCTTTCTCTGTCTCCTTTTGTCTCTATCTGTCTCCTTTTGTTTTTATCTGTCTCCCTCTGTCTTTGTTTGTCTTTGTTTGTCTTTGTTTGTCTCTTTTTGCGTTTGTTTGTCTCTTTTTATGTTTATACAAAGAGCTGGATGAATAACCAGTTTCAGGTATTATAAATAATTTTTTCTGTCTCCTTTTGTCTCTATCTGTCTCCCTTTGTGTTTGTTTGTTTTTATTTGTTTTTATTTGCCTTTGTTTGTCTTTGTTTGTCTCTTTTTGCGTTTGTTTATCTCTTTTTATGTTTATAGAGAAGAGATAAATGAATAACCAATTTCAGGTATTATAAATAATATTTTTTGTCTCCTTTTGTTTTTATCTGTCTCCTTTTGTCTCTATCTGTCTCCTTTTTTTTTTATCTGTCTCCTTTTGTTTTTATCTGTCTCCCTTTGTCTTTGCTTGTTTTTGTTTGTTTTTGTTTGTTTTTATTTGTCTCTTTTTATGTTTATAGAGAAGAGATAAATGTATAAACAAAGTAAGGTATTATAAATAATATTTATCTGTCTCCTTTTGTCTCTATCTGTCTCCTTTTGTCTCTATCTGTCTCCTTTCTTTTCTATCTGTCTCTTTTTGTTTCTTTCTGTCTCCTTTTGTTTTTATTTGTCTCCTTTTGTCTCTATTTGTTTTTGTTTGGTTTTGTTTGTCTGTTTTTATGTTTATTTGTCTCCTTTTATGCAGAAAATATAAAAACAATTTAA